TGTTTCCCTGCACCGGCAGATCCTTCCTCGTCTGGTGCCATGGACCAACGACGGTTCCAGGAGAAGTTCGCCTGCACACACACACACACACACACACACACAGAGAGAGAGAGAGGAGCTTAGACTGACAGTGGCAGTTTGAGAGCATGGAATGCTCAAGGAGCCCATTTGCCAGGGACTGGGCCTCGCTCCACTACACCGTGATGTAGCTTTCGATGTTCCAGAGGAGGATTCATTCTCATTTTGCACTGGTGCGGAGTGGAGTAGGCCCACTCTCACACAGAGAGAGAGAGAGAGACAGATGGGCCTCGCTCCACTACGCACCAAATGTGCAAAATGAGAATGGATCTTGTGCTAGAACATGGAAAGCAACATAACTGTCTAGTGGCGCGAGGCCCATTGTGTGATCGATGGACGAGGGCAAGCACAGGGGAGAGAGAGAGAGAGGTAGGTCTGGGAGTGAGCACTCTCCAAGCCTCGCTTCAAGTTGGTCTGTTGTTTCCCGGCATCAATCCACCCAGCACGCATTCCGCTGTGCACGCCCCAAGCTCCACGCGCGTGTGACTCCCTTCCCCTCCCCCCTCTTTGCCTCTCTGACACACTCCATCCCAGCGCACCAATCTTAAGCCGCCAGCTCACACGTATGAGGAGGCACGCATTATCTGTTAAGGCATAGGCCTGATCTGGGCTGGAAGGGCCCCGTGGACCTTGTCCGTTGAAAAAAAACAGGAGGGCCCCCGTTTTTCATTCAACGGGAATTCAACGGGTATGTGGGGGAATTAAATGACTTTCAACGGTCGTTTAATTCCGTTGAACACGTTACTCGAAGCTCAACTGAGTACCAAGCTTCTTTTCTTTTTTTTTTTTTTGGTATTTTTGAAGGGTGCCGGCCATCATCAAACTGACCGGTGCCAGGTTGTCCTGTTCATCTACTCACATCTGGATGATTTCAACACTTCCAAGGGTGTACCAACTGAGCTAGGTCCATCACTGACCGCTTTTTTTTTTTTTTCGCCTACACCTGACAAGAGGCCTTTTTTTTCCGCCTACGTTTGTGAGTTTCTACTCCTTAGAATGATCGGGTCCGGTCCGGAACTGGGTAGATTTCTCTCGGTGCGTGTTTCTATTCCAGGTTGTTAGCGAGGAATTCGAGCCCTCATAATTGAATTGAATCATTTTGATATTTGAATGGTTTTTGGGGAGGGCTAAGAGCTTTTGTGATTCAGATGATTCATTCTTCGTTCCGTTCTTTTTCATTCTATTTTGTGGTCCGTCGGTGTCTGTTTTTCTTTTTTAAATAATTATTTTATTTCATTCATCTAGTTCCATCTTGATTCAACGACTCGTATGGTTGTACCAACTGAGCTAGGCCCGTGGTGTGTCCGTTTTTTACCTCTTGCTGTAGTTGTTTCGTCGCTCATATTGCTTTCGTTTAATCTTCGTTAAGCTTTGTTTCGGTTACTTCTACATCCTGCCCCTCTGACCACGCCTACATCGGCCCCCTCCCCTTCCAACTCTACATCTTCCTTTGCTTCTTCGTCTTCCTCGTTGTTTTCCTCATCTTCCACCACCTCCACTTCATGTTTCTCCTCTTCTTCCTCCTCTTGTTTGTCTTTGACTTTCTTTTTTTATCCTTTTCCTCTTCTTTTTTTTGTGTGTGTTGGTCTTTCTCACTGTCGTTCTGCCCCCTGCAGGGTAAGGTGTCTGACCGCAATTCAAGTTGTACTCCGGTTAAAAATAATGGCATAAACAGCACCGGGGAGGGAGATCCTGATGAGTTCGCAAAACTCCGACGAAACAGTTTGTAACAGCCCCTCGTCCGTTGACCTCTTATATATGGTCAAACAGAGCTGCCTAATGGAATGAAAACCGGGGGTGGGGGATGGATCCGTGGGGAGGGGGAAGGGGCAGGGGTCGGGCGGTTCCCTCTCCACAACTTCATGTCGAGCCTATAGAATGTCAGTGAAAGGGCGGTGTCCAGCAAGTACACACCGCAGGGGAGAAAACAGGCGAAGTATAGCCCCATTACAATCTTCACCCTACGCACTTTTCAAAACTTCCTACCTTTTCTTAACTCCACCAGCCTCTGTCCACCCTACCCCGCTCGCCCCTAACACCCCCAACCTCCCATGCTGAATATTCTCCATTGCGCCTTCGATCAGCTGCCTCTTAGCAAGCAACGGAAAGCACAGGGGACATACCTCTCGTCTTCATATCGTGCAGATCAATCCTGGTAGGGAGCACAACTACCTTCTCTTTCCCCACCCCAACGAATCCATTCATCCAGTTCTCGTGCGGATTCGAGCTCTAGTCTGTACTTCAACGGTTCACAGGTGTGCAACAGAGCTGTAGGTCAATTGGTTAGCCACCCTCTTTTGCCTCCTCCCGCCGCCTTCCTTACCCCCTACTCTCCCTACTCTTCTAACATCGTCCTCCCGTCTGTTCAATTTGAGGATAGGGTAGATATGCTGCCCCAATCAGGTTTCCATGAAACCACCACTACTTCCGAGCCAACATTCCCGGGGCTTTAAACACCCTGTGCGCCAGACAAGAACCAACTGGCACCGGCCTCCTTTTGGGTGGTGCCGGCAGCCATTCTGCTCCGGGCAGGCGTCCCGAAAAGTCAGGGCCTCTACAAGATGCTCTACAAGATGGACTACTCAGGGCCGCTCAGGCTATTCTGACGTGTCAAGACTGTGAAAAGCGCCAAGTCACACTACTGGACACAATGAGACCACACACGTAATCACACGACATGAGATACGAGATGAAAACCATTCCAAGCCAAGGTGGCGCTTTCCGGAAAACATTGTTAACAAGCACACATGAATCCAGCAGAGCCGACCGGTTTCTGCCAGTTTCAACTCCGGCGTCATCAGGTGTCGTACCTGTCAGGAGAGGGTAATCAACACCCCCTTTGGCAAGAGACCAAATGGCAGAAGTCCCTGCAAATTAGCAGAAATAAGGTAAGGAGAAAACTGTACGTGATGGACCGTAACATGAGGAAGCGTTGTGCGGGTATTATGAGCTCCTGTATTTTGGCGCGCTGGACCCGGTTTCCGGCAGGTGCAGCTCCCCACCAATAAGAAAGAAGCAGTCTCTAGAAGCGAAAAGAAAAAGAAACAAGGAAACTGTATATGTTCATTCATTCACTCCTACTTTCACTGGGGCCTTGTTATCTCCACCGGTGGACCACCACTACACCGGATCCCCTGCCGTACCTCACCAGATCTCATTCACCTTCTTCTCCCCTACCCCGCCGGGCCCGCCCCCACCACGGAGCCTGTCCGCCCTCTGTCGTTCAAGTCCCTTCCACCAATGGCCACTGCTCATGCCCCAAATGGCAGAAAGCTGGGGGCACCACAGCGATTTTTTTCAGTTCCTCAGTCCCCACCACACTGATGTCAGACAGTCCATGAGAGCCTTTTCCTCAGTCCTCTGGACAAGAGCCTACCCTCTTCACCCGAAAAGACCGCCTGGTCATTATTCCTGTACTTGGAGCAATTTTCAGTCCACATGTAGCAATAATGACCGGGTGCTGTATTCATGTGAAGACGGAAGTTGTGCACACCTGCTGCGCGGAGGCACTGGTAATTGCAATACTTTCGCGACCCAGTAGGAGGTCGCCCACAGAAGCACCACAGGGCGTTGTAATACTCTCTAAACGGTGTAGGAGATGTTGCCCCACGGTCTTCAACATCACCCAAATTGACAAGACGTTCGGAGGCAAACACACATTTTCAGATGGCGGGTACGGGGAGGGACCAGCGCCGGGTAACAAGGCCAAGGGAGGGACGGAGAGCAGGAGCTCAAGGACTCACACTCACCAAAACCGTCTCGAGTCCGGAACATAACAAGAAGAACCTCACAGCAGAATGCACTGCGCACACCATGAAGCACACAACTCGAGGAAAACAAAGTTCAGTCCATGCGCCATACTCTTCGGTGTCGGAAGAGTCCATAAGACCAGATGCGGGCACCATGCCTTCCATCAAAGGTACAGAAACATTTATTATTGTTTTTATTTTTATGACAAAAGTTTTTTTCCCCTTTTTTTATGACCATTATTATTGTGTCTGGAGGGAGGGACCTGGAACAAATTCAATCGAAGGGTTTTCCAAGCTGCACAAAATGAAATGGCTGGCGGAAGAAGATCAAGAACCTCGTGATAGACAGTCAGACAATGGCCGCTGGAAGACGGTTAAGACCTGATCGTAAACAATCAAGAAGAACGGAAGAACGTCACAGCAAACACTCAGACGATGGCCACTGGAAGACGGTTGAGAGCTGATCGTAAAAACCCGAGACGAATTGCCGAGGACCATGCTCCACTACTCTTGTAACAAATATGCGATTGGCGATGTGGGACGGCCCATGCTATACCCTGAGATGAAGTCCTAGTTTGTTGCATACGGTCAATCATACACTGCCATAGGTGCAGAGCAGAGCCAAGTCGTCGAACCGTAGAGGTGGGCAGTGCAGCTACGTTGCCAGCCCATAAAGAATGATAAAAAAACATGGCGCAAGATGAGATCCTTTGCCCTCCGGAAAACATAAAAGCCAGGCTTCGTCACATACCAATAAACCAAGTTGGAAAAAGAAATTGGACGTGTTCACAAACACGCAGCACTCGCGCCGAACTCCCCCTTAGAAGCCGACCAAAGTGCTCCAGGCATTGGGCACATTGGTCCTGGTCATGTAAGAGGACATACAATGATGACATGTCCTCTTACACCTGCAGTGAACCCCGCCTCACCCGTACACCACTCCAGGCTTCGGGCCTCGCTCCGCTACAGAACACTCTACATGCATTTGCACGGTTTCTGGACCGGATACATACAAAATGTTCGTCCGAATGCACCTGGTCGTGGAAGCTTCCAAATGCATGTACAGTGTCGTGTCGTGGAGTGAGGCCGCTGCGGAAAAGAAAGCAGAGCCTTCAGACTCCCAATGTTATTGCCACTGCCCTACGTCGCACTGCGAGAGCAAGATTTTTAATCCTATTTTAAGGGAAATCGGCGCATAAGACAGTGTAAGCACATGCAAACAATGTCCAAAAACTCGTGATAATGGGCCTCACTCCACTACTCACGACAAGCACAAAAGACAAAGAAYATGACCGTGTACCTTTCCATGTTCTGGCAGAATAAGCATTCTCAAATTTGCACAGCTGGTGAGTAGTGGATCGAGGCCCAGTGACAGCAAACAGATAGCACGAGAAGAAGCATGCCACATGCAGAGCGAGCGGCGGCAATCACAGCGCCTCTCTAAGCTGGAACGTCTTCGACAATCTGCGTGCCCGATCATACTCGTTCAAATCAACAATCATTTTTTTCAACCTCCTTGCCATAGACACAGCTTCTTCCTGTGAACTCAGCCCATCATCCCGCCGTCCCTCGACGGCCCGTCCGACAATTGAAAGGTAATCAACTAGTGGTACCAGCTTCAAATTCAGTCCCACCCCACCGCTTGCTCGGCCTCATACCTCAGACACTACAACCACCACCCTCTCTACCCTTGTGATCGCGTCATGCGGCGTTGGTATGACATTCCGCAAATACAGAAGCATCTTCTGAACAAGAAACTCATCAAGGACCAGCTGCTCGAGCAAACTCCTCGACAATACATCCTGCAATACACAAATCGTACACAAATCGGGAAAAAAAAAAAGAAAAAAAAAAAAACACGATCGTCTCCAGGTTAGCTCAATGATTGACATAAAGTTTAATACTCTCGATGCTACAGATGACAGTCTACCAACCAACAACTGCCCTACCGTCGCTCAGTTGGTACAACCATGCAGTCTTGAAATGCAGACCTGAGTTCGAGTTCTACTGGAATCAGGTGACTCAAAAAAGTGAAAAAAAAAAATTGAATTCAACTGGGGCTGGTCAGTTCAAACTTCAAAGATGATAATGATATCTCAAGGCGAACATAATAAATTTATAAAAGAAAATTCAAAAAAAAAAAAAAATCTCAGAAAAATCTGAAAAAAAAAAATGTAATGTAAAATAATAATACAAACAACTTTTGCCTGGGAGGTATGCTCCAATTCGTAACCGAACTTGAGTTTGAAATCCAAAACCAAAAAACTAAACCAAAATTTTTTTTTTATTATATATGTTCGACCAACCAAACATATTCGGGAGGCGTTCGGCCGAAAACACGAACATATGTTTGGACATTCGGAAAAGCTCCGACCACGTGCAGTGTGCTACACGGCTGAAAGTTGCACCAAATGCCAAATGCCAAATACAGGTATAATTTGCGTGAGTTCCATACGGCTGAAGACGGAATGAAGACAAAAATAGTGATACGTAAACAAGCTGGGTAGGTAGGTAACTAGGTTGTCAAGCACAAGCACAAATCCACAGCCATTGCATACTCGAATAGTCCAATGTAAGGTGAAACATAGAAGAGGGATTTCAAGAACACAGAGAGGAGATATGGTTGAGACTCTACTCAGACTACACCCTTATGATCGCACAATCTGCAAAATCAGTGGCCACAATGCACTTAGGGTTTCCGGTTTTTGCCTCCATCCTTTCCCTCCGATTTCTCGATCCCTACACTTCCCCATCGGCCTCGAGCTCCCCCTCCCCCGCCCCTCCGGTCTCCCCCTCTCTCTCTCTCTCTCTCTCTCTCTCTCTCTCCAATTAGGGTTTTCCGCGTTCTTTCCTCCGTCCCTCTCCGCTTCTTTCTCCCTATTCACTTCCTCTCCCCATTCGCTTCCCCATCGCCCTCACGTTCCCACCTCCCCCACCTCTTCCCGCTCCCTCTGCCGTCACGTCTCCGCTTCTTTCTCCCTATTCACTTCCTCTCCCAGTTCACTCCCTCTCCCCATTCGCTTCCCCATCACTGTCACGTTCCCACCTCCCCCTTCTTTTCCCCTCCCTCTCCCGTCATGTCTCCGAGTCTCCACACACACAATCCAGTTAGGGTTTATCCTTCCCTTCCCATTTTCCGAACCATCCGCTTCCCCCTCACCCTGGAGTTCCCCGTTCACCTCGGGTTCCCACCTTGTCCTACTCTTTCCGCACCCTCTGCCGTTGAGTCTCCAGCTCTCTCTCTCTCTCACTCTCTCTCTCTCTCTCTCTCTCTCTGAGGCTCTGTTTTCTTGCCTCCGTTCTCTCCGCCTCTGCTTTCTCCTCACCCTCCGCTTTCCCCTCCCACTCCGATTTCCGGTCCCTCAGGTTCCCACTTTCCCTACCCTTACCCACTCCTCTGCTGTTCGTTCTCTCTTTCTCTCTCTCTCTCTCTCTCTCTCTCTCTCTCTCTCTCTCTCTCTCTCTCACACACACACACACACACAACACACACAAACGCACCCAGCAATGCGAAAGGTTACAGAAAGCAGAGGACGACGTAGCGCAGAAGAGGACCGCGAACTTGGGATAAAACGAGGAGGGTAGAGAACCGACACGACAACAGAGGACCAAGATGGTTATGAAGGACAGCGGATACTAGGTCTTCGAAAAGAGAACGGCGTAGTTAAGAAGACGGCGAGGAAGCGCAGCTAGGAAGTGAATCGGCGCTTAGACTAGGGAGCCGGAGAGGGTAGCTGAGCCAGGTACACAACCGAAGAGAAAAGGCAGAGGGTGGAAGTGCGAGACAGCGAGAAAAAGTGGGGAACTGCGAAAGAGGGAGGCACAGAGCACCAGAGACACAGAACACAGGCGGACGTCGGGGCAGAGGTAGGGAGACAGAAGCGGAACTAGAGATAGGGAGGAGGTGGTGAAGGTAGAGTTTGCGAGAACGCGTCGGAGATTGAGAGTGCAAGAAGATGTCGAGATACAAAAAAGGCGACGTAGGTAGAGACACAGGAGAGGACAACGGAGATAAGCGAAGTGTGAGTAGCTGGTACTGCGTACATTCAGACAGAGAGATAGCATCAGATTGATTTGGTGGTGTTAGGAAACACCGTTCAAAAGCGTGTAGCACAGGTCCAACAGGACGCGACAAATATTCGCTCGTTCAGCCCCCGAACCCCGTATAGGGTGCGGCCTTGTCGCTTGAGAGACTAGACAACGTCCATGGCCGTCACCATTTTGAGACAAGGGTGCTCGGCAGAAGTCATAGCATCACGAATTACGTTCTCGAGGAAAACCTTCAGGACGCCACGCGTCTCTGAAGTGGCCGTTTATCGATACTTCACGAAGCCGATGTCCTTCGCGTAAGTCCTGAAGCATTGACGGCAGGTATTGATGCCATACTTCCTGATGAGCCCGTGGCCATTACCGCACACACGGCATGTACGCGAGCCAGGCCCATACTTCTTAGGGTGCGAGTTCCAGACCGCAGCGTGACCCATCTTGTCTTCTCACGGTTGCGCGAAAGATTGTGCTAGCCAACAAGCAAGAGTGCAACGCGATTCGAGGAAAAGGATTGTGGCAGAGTTGGGGGGTTCTATAAATGCCCTTTCTTGGCTGGCGTTGCGCGAGGAGAAGCGGCGGGTACAACAATGGACACCGGATCAACGGGCAGGCGAACACTCGCCCGGCAGCGGGGCGGTGGTTGCGAAACCGTCTGGGATGTTCCCGACCCGATGGTAGTCACCCCGCTTCAACAGCCGGTCGGCCACTCAGAAAAGTTGGAAATTAGACGCCCTATCGTATCCCTTGAGAGTCGACCCCGCTATTTCCTTTTTTTCCCCTCTTCTATAACCCCCTCAGAGGGCCCCCCTCCACCCTTCCCCTGATCAATTACCCCGCCACAACCCCACCCCCTCTGTCCTACCCAGGACCATCACCTATCACCAACTGTGACCGCGCGGGGCGCGGGGGCGCAGCCAGGGGGTAGGAGATTGTAGCCTCGGGGGTCACCATCAGGTCCCTGTGGAACCACCAATTCCATTACGCTAGGTCCGGGCCTAGGACCTGGGGGCCGAACCAGGCCCTTGGGACTGCCGGTAGGTCCTTGGCAAAAGGTCCCTGGGACTCCAGGTAGGTCCTTGGCCATCAGATCCCTAGGACTATCGGTCCCCTTTGGCTGCACACTGGGACTTCCAGTGGGTCCTTGGCCCCGCAGACTGGGTTGAGGTTGTGAGGCAACTGGTCTTAGCCAAGGACCGGACAGAATCGAACTTGGGTCTTGTTTTTTTTTTTTTTTTTTTTCCAACAACAACTGACAATCTTATTACCAATCAAACCATGTAGGAGGCTGGGGACCTCACAATTCAACCCAGAGTTAATCTAAACAGCTAAGTCAAATACTCTTTCTGTACCATTCCCAAAACTTAATTTCCACTCTGACATAACCTTATAAAAACACAGTTGTAAGGAATTGGGATTACCAACTCATCATCCTTAACCAATGTAGTCCTAACTATCCATCCAACAATCTTCTTACATACTAGTAAACTACCCGGGGCAGTTCTTAAGCTTTTTCAAGTCCAGTCCAAGGTCGTTTTTTTTTTTTTTTTTAAGCTTTTCAAGTCCAGTCCAGGGTCGTAGAACGAAGCCCCTACCTACTGAATCCCACTCCCACTTTTGTGCCTTTGCCTGGAGCCCCTCTCCAGGATATGCCGTAAACACACTACCGGTAGGCCAATCGCCATCCATGGCCCAGTGGGCGTAGTCCCACTGTGCCGTCGCGAAGTGCCAGGTTGATCCCACCGTCCCCCCGCTCAATACGAGATTATTTACACTGTGCAGTGCTAAGTACCAGGTTGGTCCCACGTCTCCCTCACCAAGTTTGTTCCACGGCCTGCCGCTGTGGGCCTGTGTCTGCAACTCGTCCGGTCGCCTAAGGTGCCCAAGCCCCCCCAAGTCCCGGGCCTCAAGCTGTCTCTAGCCTCAAGCCGGCCCGAGCCCTGGGCATGTTCGTCGACCGAAAAAGAGAGGGGGAAAAAAAAAAAAAAAACCCTCCAGACTTGACTCGTCGACGACCAAATCGAACGACCCGCTTGCCTAAGAGCGGTCACTGTCGAATCAGGACGGTCTTTCAGGCCTTTTTTATAGTCATTATAATATTATTACGGGGAACCCCATAGCAGCCACATTCGTGGACAAGCCTCCAACGAGGGAACATGCGGGAGCTGCACCCACCAGCAGGTGCGATACCTGCTACAGCAGGTGGGCGATACCAACCAGGGGTCAGCCCGTAGCATCAGGACCGAGCTTCTTCAATGGGCCAGTCACTATGCCTCCCCTCCGGTCCCCTCCCCCTATGAACATCAGCAGTCTCTTCTCTACTCAATGCCACTCGGGGGGACCGACGGCATATCTCTAGGTGGCGGGCGCCGAGCTTGCCCAGGAAGGTACATGAGGCCAATGGGGATTGAACCCAATACCTCCTGAATGCCACTTGCGTGCCTTAGCCAGGGCAGTTTTTTTTTTTTTTTTTTTAACGCTAATTCTTTGAAGCCCAACCAATTCAATTACCTGTAAAAATTTGGACAGGACGGCCTTTCAGGCCTTTTTTATTGTCATTATAGTTTTACGGGGAACCCCGTAGCAGCCACATCCGTGCTCAAGCCTCCAACGAGGGAACATGCG